GCCGTTAACCACGTCTGGTGCACGGTGACTTGCAGACACTGATGGCAAAATATTCCAGGGAAGCACTCGGGTGTCCTCTAAGGAAAGGCGGGATGCGGGGAAGGCCAGAGCAGCATCCCTGGGCTCGCGCCCGCGCGGTGCTCACCGGAGCGGGGATCCCATCACCGCATGGGCTGCCCTGCGGCTCCTGCTTCCATCCTCCGCTTGTACCCCCTCTTTCCCCCTTTTCCAAGGCTGGAAAAAGCCAGGCAGGGGCTGAAGCATTGCTTCCACAGCTCTCGCTCCGCAGAAATATGAAATTCCTGCTTGGAATGAGGGCAGCAGCAATCAGCACCGAGGCCAAGCGGGGAGAGCGCCGGGCTCCGCTCAGACGTGGAAACATCTTCCTCTTTACTCCAAGGCCTGTCCAAAGAGTCCTCTGGAATGAAAATTTCCTTGTCCCTTTCGAATGGTGCTTGCCTGCCGAGATTAAATAATATCTATCGTCTGATTTGGGATGATTTTTCCCATATGTTGTCTGTCTATTAGAATGTTTGCTATCAAAGGCATTGGCGTGTAAAACTAGAACCGTGTGAGCATTAAAGCAACCACATGCAATTGAAGCTGCATTTTTGTGGCCTCAAGTTTGCCTTTCTAGCTGAGGGTGTTTCAAACTCGCATGTTCAGAGGCTAAATAAATCCAAAAACTGCCCCTCGCCAGCCCCTGAACGCAGCGATCCCCTTGTCCACGTTCCTGCCGCTTCCCAGCCGGCTCCACCTGAGCAGGGAGTGCGGATGCGGGCGAGGGCTCGCCCGGCTCCGGCAGGATCACGAGCCCTATGGAAAACACACGTGCAAAGCAGCCCGGATTGCAGAGTTACAAACCCTGAGCTCTTTCGGGATCCAAACTGCTTGCGGGACGGTGAGAGACATCACCCAGGACACCCCCACGGCTCTGCTCTCTGCTCTGCTCCTGCTTCTCCAGCTCCGAACGCCTCAAACTCTGCTCTGATCAGGGAAGTTCCCCGGGATCCCTCCGGATGCTGCGGGATGGAGACGCCTCGGAGCAGCGGGCTCGGCCAGCGGCACCGCGGAGCTCGGCTCGGCCTGCGCAGCAGCGGGAAGAACCCCACGAGCGGCAGCGGTTGCGGATCTTGGTTTTGGATGCTCGCTGAGGTAAAAGCTGCAGCATTTAATACTCACGAGAGCCTTCCGTTTCAGGGCTCATGGAGTTTACAAGCTAGTCCGGAATTTATAATCGAGCTGGGTGCCGCGTTTGGAGCTTGTGGATTTTGCAAGCTCCCGCACGGCTGCTCCTTCCTGCTGGTGTCCGGGGAGCCCACGCGCTCCTGCAGTACACGAGGACTCAGTCCTAGCGCCCCAAGGACCCTCTTTGAGGGCTCACGGAGTTTGCCAGCACCAGCTGGAGATGCACGGCCTGCAGCTCGAGCGAGCCCTGCGCGTATGTGGCTGCCTGCAGATCATGAAGCTGCTCCAGGCTCTCTCCATCATAAGTTGCTTCTGTTTTTTTGCAGCTTTGGGACTCATGCAGGGATATTCTGGCTGGTGGAAGAGACCCAAAGGCTTCTGAGGCCTCTGCTAGTCCCAGGCAGCTGCCTGCATGCACTAACCTTGCTTGCTGCTTGGAAGAAATGGGAATATCCTCAGGAAGGTTGGAAGGAAGCTGCTTGGTATCAGCTGCACTAAAAGGAGCCTAATGAGATTAATGTCACCTGTGGTCACTCACACTAGAGAGAGATGAGCAGGGCTCAGCAGTCAGGGAAGATGACTAGGAGGCTCAGGATATTCATCCTGTTTCCCAGGATTTACTGGGTGAAGGAAAACTAGGGCTACTCTTGACTCGCTAGGAAGCATCAGGCACCAACTCCTGGGAAAAGGAGAGAAAAGAGGGGAAGTGGCTGGGGGGGGGGGCCCCCCGAGGCCCC